TGGAAGTGTATTGAATATGTCCACCCAGTAATGGTGTGAGTATGTTGAGCCTGAGGGCCTAGTAATAGATTTCGTCTGTTAGTACAAACCAATTTTTTCTTCTAATTTCATATTCATGTTTAAATAAACTTTGTATTTGTATAATTGTGTATATTATTTACCTACAGTATTTACCGTTATTTCTTCCCTATTGCTTGATACTATCATTACACCTACCCACGAGCCTCCTATCGTCACGCTACCAATGGTGATATATAAGAGTAACAGGAATTGTTACTGGCACACAGGCCCTCATAAATGGTGGCAGCTCAAGCCCTCATAAATGGTGGCAGCGGTGGGATGTAATGAACATAGTATCGAGTTGGGAGGAATGACTGTGATACTGTAGTTTAACTGAGTTATAACCATTTCTCTGTACGGGTATTTAATAACCATTCCACTGTAACTAATGAGTATTTCAGATTGCTAATGATTTTGTTCCATATTTTTCCGAGGTACAGCTTTTTGTGGTGGTTTGCAGAGAGAGTGAAATAAGTTCAAAGAAATACCTTGGAGTTAGGTTAGAAAAGTCTTGTTTAAAGTAAAAGGAAACCTGCAACAATAACTTGTAGAGTGTGAATAAGGTTCATTAATAGTGGAAGAATTTTGATATGTAACAATCGGCCCAAATTTTTTTTCTGTTGTTAACTCAGTATTACTTACAGACAGTGAATACATGTTTGGGCCGTGGCACTAGTTGTGAAATGTTCCATCGTGGGAGTGCCCAGTGTTTTAATTCTGAGTGCTAACAGAAGCATTGCACTATATGCAAAGGTTAAGTGGATGCTAATTCTGCATTTGTAATATTCTTTAGTTATGTGTTAGGTAGGATATATATTCCATTTACTTAATATCTCGGGGCATTTTACAGTTCCTACTATTAATATTCCTATGTATACGCTATAATTTTAAAGTTATTTTAACCAGGTGCTAACGGGTCATTATTTTGTGTAACGTATGTTATGTGAACTCTAATGCCAGTATACTTTCAGAATACAGTATTATATATGTGAGGACCTTATGGTGATACGGTATATGGAAAATGTTATACAAGTGTATGGACCCAGAATTGTGAGTACGGAAATTCGTGAAGTGTTCACGCAGTGTTGCACCATACTGAGTCTGTGAATGGCAAAGTGTCTAAGTGAATTTTTGATGCCATAATAGTATCTTTGGGGAGATTAATAATCTGAACAGTAGTTTGAATAGTTGATGCATGGAGTATTAGTCGTATTGCAGAAAATCAGTACCAGTCCTTGGGTCTTGAGTGAGCACTGTGCGTGTATTGTATTTACAGTGGGATATACCTGTAGTATTGATTTGTTGTAACACAATGGCAGATGCTAACGCAAATAAGGGGACCATGACGGCCAAAGCCGCTGTTGATTTAGCAACAAAAGTCCAAGCACTTCTGGCTAAACTCGCTAAAGCCATGGGTAAAGGAGGAGAAAACCAGTGGTTAGACTGGATCTTTAAGAAACAGTGGGCTTTGTAAGTGAACCTCCTTGGTTGTTGATGGGTAGTGAAGTGCACAATCTGTTGTAGGTAACTTTTGGTAATTGAAGAAGAAAAAAAAAAATGGAGGATGTTTTTTTGGGGGGTTAAAAGTATTTTGCAGAGGAAGGGTCAATTTGCAGTAAAGACAGAGATTGGAAGATGTATTGGCAGTTATGCAATCATCTGAAGGGTATCTGTTACTAGTATGAGTAAAGATACCAGTGGTGAATTCTCAAGTTCTGGTTGGTAAGTCCTACGTAGGCTGGGTGTTGTTGGTATATAGGTGTAGAGTTCGTGACTTTCAGGGAGTATTCGGGCATATAAATATGGTGCTATTACTTCTACATGGCAAATGCCATAAGTACAGACAGTTTTTGGTTTGGTGGTGTTCTCATGAGGACCGTTTCGTTAGCATTGAATTCTTGGGAATACCCGCTCGTTCGGAGTCCCTTGAAGGGTGCTGCCTCTCGCGAGTGCGACATAACTCTTAAGATAAAGGGCAACAAATCATTCCTTTGACTTGATGGGGTCCGTTCGTCTATGTCCTAGCTTGAGAAATCTGTGTTAAATCTCAGTGTGTCCTGTCAGCATTTGACCAATCGCGTAAAAGAAACTTTCATAATCTATGAACATTGAAATTTGAGTTCTGTAAGAAATTTTGAGTGTGCATTTTATCTACCGATGTGAGGGTGTATTTTGTAACATGTAACACCATTTATTATTATTATTATATGATATGAGGTATCTAACTCAAATCATTATTATTCTATGATGATGTACTTGACCCCATTTATTATTATATGATATTATGTATGTAACCCCATTTATTATTATATGATATGATGTATTTACCGCCATTCAGTATTATTATGACATGATGTACCTAACCCCAGGTGCTATTATTTTTGGTGCTATTTTGTAATATGTATCCCAATATATTTTTTATGAAGGTGTGTCACATTCTAATTGTATGTTAACAGATTTCCATTTCTTGTACCTAATCCTGACCACCGGTAGGGAATTATTTTTCTAGTTTTATTGATATAATTTGTGCAATGTTTTGTATGAGGATTTATACTTTATATTAATGATTTAATATGTATGTCACTACTTACGTGTTTTCTGAACGTTACCGCATAATGATGAATCTTGGGGAAGGAGGAAGCTTTGTAATGGTCATGATAAGAGCTAACCTGAAAACCTTAAGGATTCATATTACGCTCAAACGTCCACAAAACCTTCCGAGTCCCCCAGTGGAAACGTCCCCCGTTTTCTCTGTTTCCCCCGCCTTTGTCTATGGGAGCAGACGCTGTATGCTGGGACCTGTTGCCATCCATTCCTTTGTAATCAATTTAATTCTGCTTTCGATAGCTGAGTCAGAGCATTGTTAGTGAAGATAATAGTAGAGAATGAAAATGAGTTCATAGTCTCAATTTCAACGTCAGAGGGTACCGTAAATTAATTCATTGGAATAGGAGTAGCTGGACTCCCTGGCCTAGTTTGAGTGAGGGCGCCGCGGGCATTTTAACCGTTAGTAAGTGCCCGTCCCTTCATCCATACAGGTATGCCATTCCACGCTGTGTTGTAATTTGCCCTTCTTTAAGTGATTTGACCCAATTGATAGTTGATTGTGCAAGTGTTACAGTAACGTAGTTGATATGCTCTGAGTAAAGTCATATTTACGTCTTTAACGTCCCCTGAAACGTGTTGTTGTTGTCACCGGTTAGTAAGTGCCCGTCCCTTCATCCATACAGGTCCCTAACGCAGCTTAGGCCGTGTCTGTAGGGTGGATGTTGTATCCACTATGTCTGGGGACAGGTCCGAGGTCCAGTAGGATCAGTTACCTTCGTGAGACCCGGCCGTCAGACACTTCAGACCACCTATAGCCCCCATAGCTGGCTCGTCTGGCCCTAACGCTCGGTCCACGAGGTGACCCCGGACCACCAAGCCACACACCACTACCAGCCCCCATCATTGGTGGATGAGTGTCTACCTCAGTAGGGCTATATTTGTGTGGTGGAATTAACCCACTGGGATCTCCAGAGTTCGTCAGATAGTACTCCATGGTGGCTGGACCCCATGGCTGTTGCTTGAGTATCACTCCTGACGACTGAGTGTTGTAGTGGCAGTTGCCTAGTATTTATGGTGCTAAGTGACTATCATAGTTGTGTTATTGAGTATGTCCACCCCGTAGGGTTGGAAGGGTATTGAATATGTCCACCCAGTAATGGTGTGAGTATGTTGTGCCTGAGGGCCTAGTACGAGATTTCGTCTGTTAGTACAAACCAATTCTTTCTTCTAATTTCATATTCATGTTTAAATAAACTTTGTATTTGTATAATTGTGTATATTATTTACCTACAGTATTTACCGTTATTTCTTCCCTATTGCTTGATACTATCATTACACCTACCCACGAGCCTCCTATCGTCACGCTACCAATGGTGATATATAAGAGTAACAGGAATTGTTACTGGCACACAGGCCCTCATGAATGGTGGCAGTAGCAGCCCTCATAAATGGTGGCAGCTCAAGCCCTCATACAATGAACTCATAAGCCTACTCTCAATCAGCGAGGACAAGCTCTATAACTCCCAGAGAACGGGAGTTTTTAGTTCTGTTAATTGGAGAGTAAAAATAATTCAAAATAGGGACATATGTGGTAAGATTGTGGCTTTGAAGAAGCGAGCTTGGATGCTGATAACCTCCTAGTTCTTCAATGCTGAAGGATATAGACTTAAGCGTTCTGAACTACAGCTACGGAAGAGCTGGGAGCGTATTAAAGTAAAGTAAGTTCAACACTTTCTATTTTGTTGTTAAGTAAGTTCCGTTAAATAGGGTGCAAATAACTACACTCTCTGAGCCCAAGCAGCTGGCGAGCCGATCAGTGGTGAAGATGATAAAAGTAAAAGCAAAAAGAGACAAGCAAACTCCTCGTTCTCATACCAGCCTCCTATAATACACAGACATGAAGTTCGCTCTTCTTTACTGGTTGATAAGTTCAAAGTACTTGCTAACAGTGTGTAACAGAGTCAGTACATGCCCAGTACTTGCCAACAGTGTGTAGCAGAGCCAGCATATGCCAAGAGTGTGTAACAGAACTAGGACATCCCCAGTACTTGCCAACAGTGTGATAGGCCGATCAAATGTAGAAGTAAAGTAAAACAAATTATTTAACTAAAAAAGTAAAAGAAAAAAAAAATGGCGTAACAACAAAAAATCTACGGTTTTGTCCTGCTGTGTTCATGTTAGTGCTCCTCTAATATGTATGAATGAATATGTATATATTGAAAGATGATTAGTTAGAAAGCGAAGCATGTATGCTGTAGTTCTAAAACTTGATTAAATTTGCCTTTTATAAGTCATAATATGTGCATACAAAGCTATTAAAGTTTAAAAGTGCACACGGACTTTATAAACACTCAGTAATTAGTGTATATCCCAGGACAAATATGAAGTCTTACCTGACATTCTACAGGCCACTTAACGTTCTGCTGGGCACAAGCTTCTCTGACAACACCATAAAGGTCTCTGGCATGGGGAGGGGTAGTGGTGCCAGAAGTGTGGGAGGCGGAGGAGGCATGGAGGCGGTAGCAGGAGTAGTTATCATGAGGGCCCGGCTTGTCGACCACCACGGCATCCTCCTTCCGCGGCTCCTGCAGGCTGCCCATGCTGTATTCTGACTCAAAAGACCAACTACATCAACACAACTACTTTTCGTCATGTTTTATTATTATTTGTATTATTATTATTAAAATCTCCTCCCCTTCTCCCCCACCCATTTTGACCCATCTAATGGGAATAATTGTTCCAGGGAACGCTATTGTACTCAAGAGTCATTTAAGTTTCATTGTTATACTTCTTACTTATTACATAGAGGTTGCATGGTGCAGCTGTCACTGACCTCTGTATCATCTATTTATCTACCCAACTTTCTGTGATGTGTCTGCAGGTAAACTCAAAGACAACAGCTAAAATTTTCATATTTATCATCTAAATTCATCATACCAACTACTGTATTCTACACTTTCAGCTAGTGGCGATACGAACTTATCTTTTTCTCTTTTATCCTCTTCACCACTGATCGGCTCGTTAGCCGCTTGGGCGATCGGTCACGTCTCTGTTACGCACTGTTGGCAAGTACTGGGCATGCACCAGTTCCTGAATGTACGTGAACCTGCTCCAGTGTTGGTCAAATCTGGTCTTGAAAGAGCCCACACTCGGTGCCGACACAACACTTTCTGGTAGATTGTTCCAAGAGTTCACAACACTCACTCCGAAAAAGTTGGTCCTCACAGTTTTCTGGACCTGCGGCTTCTTCAATCTTGAGCTGTGACCCCGTGTGGGGCGAGCGAGCGTCCGCCAGCTCCAAGTAAGGACACTCGACTGAGTAGTGCCCCTTGAGATGCTTATACACCTCAATTTGGTCGCCCCTTGCCCGTCTGTAGCATAAGCTAGGCAAGTTCGGGCGCTCCAATCTCTCAGGGTAGTCGAGGTGCCGAAGTGCAGGCACCAGTCTGGTGGCCCTCCTTTGAACATTTTCAACCAACTGACAGTCCCTAGCATATCTCGGGGACCAGACGGGGTGACATTACGAGGGACGGACCGTCTAGGTATCTGAACGACCTTCTTATAAGACCCAATAATTTATTTGCCTGATTTACCTTCTTCTCGTAATGACCCGAGAACTTCAGCTCATTGTCAACATACACACCTAGGTCCTTCTCACATTCAGTCTCAAATAGTGCAGTTTCTTCATCCCATTGAGACATATGATACGCCTCCTTACCGTTGGTACGCCCCAGGTGCATCCTCTTACACTTACGCAACTCATACAAAAATTAATTAGTCAGCGTTTGGATGCAGACCAGTCAACAGCGTACAGTAAGTATATGGTTGGGAATGTTTCATCCCATTCATTATTGGCGATAGTGTGGAAATACACACACACACACACATATATATATATATATATATATATATATATATATATATATATATATATATATATATATATATATATTTAAATATCTTCATAAGCTCCTCTTCGGGAGTGAGGTATCATGTGGTTATTGCTGTACCGGTTCTGTATAAATTATTGTTTCTGTGAAATTGCGCAATTCAACTCTGCAGTGTAATAAAAATAATACCATGGTCAAATTTTTATCCTACTTTGCATTCTAGTTTGTTTTTTCCACTATGCAGTTTCGTATTTATAATGTTACTCAGAACAACTTGTTTATAATGACACAAATTATTGTTACTGTACACAACTGCTTATTTTTACCGAGCAAATTTTTTTTTGTTTCTAAGCACAACTGCTTATTGTTACTGAGCACAACTGCTTATTGTTACTGAGCACAAGTGCTTTTTGTTACTGAGCAAAACTGCTTATTGTTACTTGGTACAACTGCTTATTGTTACTGAACAGAGCTGATTATTGTTACTGAGAACAACTAATTTGTTACTAAGCACGATTTGTTTTTACTGTACATCATTGGTGAATGTACTGTATGTATGATGTATGTATGTATGCATGCATGTGACATGAAGTTTAGAGCGGATAAAGTCGATTAGGTTCAATTTAGTTTATATTATGGCAGGTGAAAATTCAGGTTATCTTGTGTGAGGATATGTTAGGTTACGTGTAAGGGCCATAAACATATAATACACGGTACAGATAATTAAAAAAAATAAATAAAAATCAGTAAAATCACGACGAAAAAAATTATAAAAATAAACGAGTAAACCAAACAAAAACAGGAACGGTAAAAGACATTTGATATTCTTGAAGACCTTGTACAAGTGGACAAAAACAAATGTTTCAGAAAAAGGTTGCTAAAGAACATTACTTTCAGTTGATACCGGAACGAAGCTAGAAGGCTTCAAAATTATACTAGAAAATTATGAAATAAGTTACGACACAAAAACAAATGAAGATATACCAATAATGGCAATGATAACGAGAGAAGTGATGGAAATTTGTAGAATAAGACAACGGATAATTTGTTGGAGATACGCTTGCTTACTGACATGGTGAATGGACGAGTCCACGAGAGTACTGTACTGGAAGGGCTGATTTGGTTGTGGTCGCAAGTTACATGTAGTGAAGGAAGGATAAGTGTACATGGAGAACTAAGATTCCCTGTACAGGTTCTTCTGTTTAAGGCAAAGCGTAATAGGTCCCTAATACGGCTAAATACCACCAGGCTTGTCTCTTAGAGGAGGGATATTTGATCAGGAAGAGACGACGTGACGGTGACGGCTGAAAACCAATAAAAGGAGGTTTCAGGATATGCGAGGGTGTAGTGCGGTCAAGCTCCGGGTCGTCCATGTACTCCCAGAGGCACCTACATGTATATCAAAGATACACAATCAGTTAAGACCGAGTCAAGGGTTAATACTCTTTGTAATAGCGGTTGTCATCTTCGGTAAGTTCGTCTGAGTGGCGTAGCATGCGACTTTCCTAATGATTTAAATTCGCCCAGTGTTCGTCTAGGATCTCCCGCGGTGCGGTGTATAGGCTAACCGAGATTTGAGATGATTCGAGCCACGTTGTCATCGGTACACACACGTTCCCTCTTTTACTATTTTTTGGTGTTTAAGGCAAAAGATTGAGATTTTCCGAAGGAGTGATTACTAAACCGAAAGAAAAAGCATTCAAAATATCAGAGAGGCGGCAGCGTGTGAAGAGAAGCAGTGAAAGGGAACCAGATATATAATTATGTCAGTATCGGACATCGAATTCACTTGTCCTATTGTAGCGTAGTGTATGTGGCCAGTAGTCTAATTTCTCTTTGTGTTTGTCTATTTTATCTTTGTTAGGCTCACATACATACGTACATGTAGGAGATCTCGCACTAGGGGAGAGTATCCACTACACTATCACAGATAAATGTGGGCACTTACTAATGGCAGGAAGCTAGGTTAATTTCCAGAGATCTGGGTACAGGAGGATGGGGGAAACAGTTGAATCTGCATACATGACGACAGTAAACCAGGTGATAAATCCCCGCCATGGATTCTTTTGACTATTAAAAAGCGGCTGGAAGGTTGGTGACGTCATGGGGAGACGGAGCCAACCAATCAGAGGGAGCCAGCGAGAGAAGGAAGCCTGACCTGCATTTGAACAATAATTTTCTTTTGCTGCTGTCATTCTGCATGAATAAGGCCACGGGTCGAAACTTTACGGAGTAAACAGCAGCAAAATATTCCGAGGCATAATTTGGTATTATTTTAGTAAAATACGTGTTTTGATTATTTTATATCCCAAGCAGCAGTTATTTTGGCAAGTATGAGATTTTCTTGTATTGATTGTTGTATTACTTATGTAAGAATTTACTAGAATGTATTGCATCATTTTTGTTTATGATTTACTTCCTATTGTAAGCCTTGATCAGAGTAGAACGTACTAGAACTTCCCGGACCTGTCAGGATTGTGCTAGCTTGGGTCGTCTTTGAGGGTAATAAGGGTATATAAGCGGCATCCAGCCCGCCCGCTGCCTTAGTAAAACGAGCATTAAAAGGTTACAAACAGTACAAAATACAGCCCTCAGATTTATATATAACATAAAATATACAGACCACATCAATAATGAACAGCTACACAAGATAGCAAACCTCCTATCAATCAATGTAGAAATACACAACAAAGCCGCAAATATTTGGAACTAAGTGACTGAACTCAACACAGAAACTTACCAAAACTGGATAAATAATATAGATAATGAAGAATTCCAAGAACACAGTTGGTTTAAATCAGCCAGGAAGAAAGTAATTGAACCACCTCCTACATAAGAACATAAGAAAATAAGGAGTCTGCAATAGGCCGGTTGGCCTGTGCATAGCAGCTCCTGTCGAGAGTTACTACCACTCTCTATCATCCATCAATCTATCCAGCCTCCTTTTGAAACTTTCCAGCGTTCCAGCACTTACTACAAAGTTGCTAAGCTTGTTCCTCTCGTTCACCACCCTATTTGTGAACCAGTTCCTTCCCATCTCCCTCCTAAACCTAAACTTATCCAACTTAAATCCGTTGCTCCGAGTCCTATCCTGCTCGGATATTATAAGAACTTCTGTACATACGACCTGGCCGTTGGTAACCAGCGGTGAAAGGAGGGTTGTAACAATACTTTACATACTTAATAGCAACCGAAATAGAAATGCCGAGGCAAGTAGGCCAGTGGCCTTTGTAGGATCCCTACATCATTCTTGATAGCTTTGTCTAGGGCTATTTTGAAGTCGGTGAAAGATATTTTCTCACACATACACATCATAACATAGAGTACATCGCTATACAGTATATTCTATTGATTTAGAAAGAACAGACGTGTACTTAAAGGTATGAACACAAGGTAAGAGACATGAACACATATATACTGCACAGGTATCACTTATGAATGGGTAAGGCACTTTTTTATATATAACAAACGTACACATAATTTTGGTGTAAGAGCTACGAGTATCATATATGGAAGCAAGAAGCGAGAACACTATTTTATCGTACTACGAGTAGGACAATAACTAGAGATAATCTAGGTTGCATTTGCAAAATGCCAGCGCTAATTTCTTCGTAAATATTTACTATTATTACAGTTACCTTAAGTATTCTATAAGTAATAACTATATCTAAAACAGACAGATAAAACATGGTAACTTTACAAAGCACCTACGGTGGTACCTGTGTAACTGGAGCCTCTGCGGCTTTCTGTCTACACAGTAAAGTGTCTAAACACGCTGAGAATATTTCATGCAAGATAATAAGTATGAAAATTACCCCTGAGTGGGAAGTATCTTGCCTGCAGTTGCCAGACATGACTGAATGCTAGGTGGAGCCCCGACCCGTACATATCGCCCCCTCAACGACCAAGTCACACTCACTAGGGATGTGCAGTTGATAACCTATACTTGAAGGCAGCAACAACAACTGTGTGGCGATCTTTTGTAAGCCGTTCTTCATTCTGTTGATAACGAGGCACTTCAGTACAGATCGACATTTGTTCAGAGTTTAGAGAGTAGTATAGGTGAGGTGAGGGTGGATCCAAGTGTGTGGCTTCGTCCACCATGATCACCATCTCCTCCGCCACTATTGACTACCTGGCCACAAATGTTGTCTTGACCAACCAGCCAAATCAAGTTGCCAAATGCCGTCATCTTTCCTGTCAAATTTCACATTAGTAATCCCAATAGGTAACTTAGAATTATATATACGTATGTATGTATATGCAGTATATATGTTTCCCCATCCTATTACCGGAACACATTTTTTTTTCAGGTTACGCGGACGCAGGCAATGTTCACGAGACATCAGCATAACCAATAACTACGTGTATACCTTAACATATATCACATATACAAAAAAGAATCGGTACAGTATATGAGAAATAATATAATAACAATACTGTATTATGGAAGATTTGCAAGTTGACATGGCTGTAATGACTGCCGTGAACGTAAAAATATGAGCGACTCATTCTTTTTTTCAGTGTTTCGGACGTTTTTTGTATACTGTTATTTGAAGATTAACGCTTACGAACAATAAGATATTTTTTTAAAAATAAACAAGGTGACTATCTACATTATTCATTCACTTGCAGTCTGCGAGATAATTATTCAAAACTTAAATCTACAATAACAAAAATTCTTGCCGATATATTATGAGCAGAGATCATGCGTCACCAGACCCCGATCCACCTCGGAGCGCCACACATGCAAGGTTGACCTGAAAATGTCTTCACCACCAGTTGTAACAGCGGGTGGAGGGAGGTGAGACTAGCCACGACGCCATCCCTTTAACACAATATGAACTCTAAATATTATGCCGATAATATATCTGAGAAAATTTATTTAGGAAATAAAATTATCTTATTTTATTGTCTTTGTCGATGTTGTAGCGTTGTGTATAGAGTATCCACTACAATGTTATAGTATACATTTCCTTACAATGGTGAGAGCGTTTATGTGATAATGTAACACTGCACATTTATGATGTTAAGGGTGTTGATTTGTCTGGAACAACGGCAATAGTTATGGTGGCACAAGTAGCAGCAATGCAGTCATGTCAGCAAACGCCGCTATGATATAACAGCAACAGACATTGTGGCAAAAATCAACAATTACAGAAGTGGTTCTAACAGTAAAGTTATGGCAACACTAAAGGCCTGTCCCTACTCTAAGCAGCTTGACAAAACGTTTTTCAAAATGTTTAATAAAATAACTTATTAATAGCATTAAATCCAAACTAGGCAGTATGAGAGTGAACCATGCATTAAAGCTTTGTCAAATCGCAGTTATCAGATGTTCTTGATAATCGAATGTTCAGTAACTACCCTGTATATGTTCGGTAAACACGCAATGGATATCTTGACAGATTATTACGTCTTGGAGGAAATAATGGACCCCAGAAACTCTGTTGATCATTCATTGAGTAGTCGGTAATATTTAATCACCATTGTTTGTTTGATCAGATCTACAGTACTTTCAAATACTAACTCCTTCCACAAAAACATTCACAGGCACATATATACACATTTCACCCTTACCATATACAGTACATAACAGTTTAACCTAAAAAAATTTAAAACAAACACATACATGTAATAAAAGAGTCACATACTAGTATGCACTGTCACATTAGCACGAAAATATGTACAGTATACGCACATTATCAACGTATAATTTTACAATGCATCAACACAGTTTCACTCTGCAACGATTCATACATAATGTATTCCGAGCAAAGGAACTCATACTAAAGTCTTGGTTTTAACTGTACTGTCACTAAAATATCCTTTTTCTTGAGGAAATGAAAAACAAAATCTTTTATTTTACACAAGCGACCTAGAACAGTGTATACAGTATTTATAATATAAACTGTAAGTATATTACATTCTGTGGGAATTGTTGTGGTTCCGCGAAGTATTGTGAAATCTAAAAACTTTCCTGGTGGACAATAAAAAAATTATTGTGACAAAAGAAGTCCCATGCGAGGTGTGGCGGAGGTGGTAGGAGCGAGTGAGTTAAACAGTGGAGAACAGCCCTTTCGCCTCCCTCCTGAGGACATATTGACAAATTGATCCGCGTCCCCATGACCCCCTGCATGACTGCCTCCTGTTACTTGCTTCACACGCAACGCCATGGCATTTTTCTGTCATGCCAAGTGTTTGGAAAATTGTACCAAGTCAGGGCTGGCATCATGTTGAGATGGCAGCTTTTGAAGGATTATCAAAGCTCTGAGCGGATATTTACTCTAAACGCCGAGAACACAATAAACCGGACAATATACTGTGTGTGTGTGTTTAGGTTTCAGAATGGTGTGAATCCTCCGAGGCTTCAGATCATAATTATATTACATAAATTGGTGTGGATGTCGCAAACGGATACTAACACCATGCCAGTCATCAAAGGGATCTTACATCGGATGGAACGAAGAATTATCGGGTGAGACAGCAAGATGTGAAAGATGCTATTATTGCCCTTCACAACGAGGGTATACGTAGCTCCAAGATAGTACTGTATATATATATATATATATATATATATATATATATATATATATATATATATATATATATATATATATATATATATATATATATATATTTCATTTGGGAAGTGGTGAGCGAACCAGTACACCAATGCAATTCAGATATCAGTAGTATGGCATATCCATGTAGACCGATACATTGTATGTTGCTGTAACTGTTCACTCTAATATCAAGTAATGTTTTTGTAGTCACTCTTCATAAATCAGACATCGTGAGCATGAGTAGGCATATTGTGCAACTCAGTATTAAATGAAACGTTACTACAACGACGTAAAAGGTAAATGTTCGTTTTGAGGTCTGTCAGTTTCAGTTACGATGTTCGATGAATATATATCTCAGTGTTATTGTAATAGTCATAAGTCAGTGGCTTGTTCACATATCTAATGATACAAGGACCCCCCCCATCCTATCTCTAGCTTTCGGTGATGTAGCAAGTGAAGAGCTTACCAACTTATGATGATCTACTGGGGATCATATCTAAGCATTTCGTCTAGTGTTTTGAATTATACTGTAGCGACGTAATATCTGACGATAGTTTGGGGATTAATACTATAATGTTCATGATGGTGGGTGGTGTATATTGTTCATGGTATGGTGGGTGGTGTATATTGTTCATGGTATGGTGGGTGGTGTACATTGTTCATGGTATTGGTGGTGTATATTGTTCATGGTATGGTGGGTGGTGTATATTGTTCATGGTATATTGGGTGGTGTATATTGTTCATGGTATGGTGGGTGGTTATATTTCATGGTATTGGGTGGTGTATATTGTTCATGGTATGGTGGGTGGTGTACTTTCTGTATGGTGGGTGGTGTATATTGTTCATGGTATATTGGGTGGTGTATATTGTTCATGGTATGGTGGGTGGTGTATATTTTTAGTATGGTGGGTGGTGTATATTGTTCGTATGGTTGGTGGTGTATATTGTTCATGGTATGGTGGGTGGTGTACATTGTTCATGTATGGTGGTGTATATTGTTCATGGTATTGGTGGTGTATATTGTTCATGGTATATTGGGTGTATATTGTTCATGGTATATTGGGTGGTGTATATTGTTCAAGGTATGGTTGGTGGTGTATATTGTTCATGGTATGGTGGGTGGTGTACATTGTTCATGGTATGGTGGATGGTGTATTGTTCATGGTATGTTGGGTGTTGTACATTGTTCATGGTATGGTGGGTGGTGTATATTGTTCATGGTATGGTGGATGGTGTATTTGTTCATGGTATGGTGGGTGGTGTATATTGTTCATGGTATATTGGGTGGTGTATATTGTTCAAGGTATGGTGGGTGGTGTATATTGTTCATGGTATGGTGGGTGGTGTACATTGTTCATGGTATGGTGGGTGGTGTACATTGTTCATGGTATGGTGGGTGGTGTACATTGTTCAAGGTATGGTGGGTGGTGTACATTGTTCAGGTATGGTGGGTGGTGCATTGTTCATGGTATGGTGGGTGGTGTATATTGTTCAAGGTATATGGTGGGTGGTGTATATTGTTCAAGGTATGGTGGGTGGTGTACATTGTTCATGGTATGGTGGGTGGTGTACATTGTTCATGGTATGGTGGGTGGTGTATATTGTTCATGGTATGTTGGGTGGTGTATATTGTTCATGGTATGGTGGGTGGTGTACATTGTTCATGCAGGTATTGGGTGGTGTTTGTGTTCTCATGGTATGGTGGGTGGTGTATTGTTCATGGTATGGTGGGTGGTGTGTACATTGTTCAAGGTATAGTAGGTGGTGTACATTGTTCAAGGTATATTGGGTGGTGTATATTGTTCATGGTATGGTGGGTGGTGTACATTGTTCAAGGTATGGTGGGTGGTGTGCATTGTTCATGGTATAAGTGGGTGGTGTATATTGTTCATGGTATGGTGGGTGGTGTACATTGTTCAGGTATGGTGGGTGGTGTACATTGTTCAAGGTATGGTGGGTGGTGTATTGTTCAAGTATATTGGGTGGTGTATATTGTTCATGGTATAGTGGGTGGTGTATATTGTTCAAGGTATGGTGGGTGGTGTACATTGTTCATGGTATGGTGGGTGGTGTACATTGTTCAAGGTATGGTTGGTGGTGTACATTGTTCATGGTATGGTGGGTGGTGTACATTGTTCAAGTATGTTGGGTGGTGTACATTGTTCATGGTATGGTGGGTGGTGAATATTGTTCATGGTATGTTGGGTGGTGTTTATTGTTCATGGTATGGTGGGTGGTGTTTATTGTTCATGGTATAGTGGGTGGTGTATATTGTTCATGGTATGGTGGGTGGTGTTTATTGTTCATGGTATTGGGTGGTGTTTATTGTTCATGGTATGGTGGGTGGTGTTTATTGTTCATGGTATGGTGGGTGGTGTATATTGTTCATGGTGGTGGGTGGTGTTTATTGTTCATGGTATGGTGGGTGGTGTATATTGTTCATGGTATATTGGGTGTGTATATTGTTCATGGTATGGTGGGTGATGTATATTGTTCAGGTATAATTGGGTGGTGTATATTGTTCATGGTATGGTTGGGTGTACTTGTTCATGGTATGGTGGGTGGTGTA